CTTCAGTAGGGAGTTTGAAAGTCACTCTTCGAGCAGCCTTGGGGTGAGGGCTATCAGGCCTTCGCTGTTTGTGTCTGCTGTCGAAACGTGGGCCCATCTGGGCAGTTTCTTGATGGTTCCAGCAAGGGGCAAAGGGAATCGTTTCGAAGGCGCTGGCCATGCTTTGGTCATACACAGCAGAACACCTTGGGCAAATCAAGCACTTGGTTGCCCCTTTGTAGCAGCGAAACACAAATTCCAGCAAACTTTCTCCAGCCTTGGGATAACACCTAAAAAGCTGGTTATCCTGGCGCCAATTGTTGCCAGTTCGAGTCCTCTGTACCCTTTCGAAATTCGCAGCGATTCTTTGATTGCAGAGGATGCTGCACCTAGGGCACAATATCATGCCTGAATCTCCTTTGTGGCATGTCATGAGATAATCCTTGAGACTAGCATCTCCAGTGTGATTATCCCCCATTCTATACTTTTCTTTTTCTAAGTATTTTTCCACTTCCTCCATCTCAGAGCGAGGTCTTTCCATATCCACCATATTTATTTCAACATCTCCCCCTTTAGCTTCATCATCACCCCATCCTGTGGGCTTTATATCCTCAATCTGAACCTTCGAACTCTCTGGGGCAGAATATTTGACCAAATAGTCAAATTTTCCACTGGGTTCCCCTAGAGTGTCCCATATTTCCTTCTGAAGGGAAATTGGCTGTGTGATTTGGACTTTCTCCAATTCCAGCCTCAAGCCTTTAGTGACTTGTGTTAATTCTTGGTTTTGATTTCCCTGGCCTTCAGTAGCCTGAGTTTCTCTTGCAACAGCTATAGGTGCGGAAATCGGAGTCTCTGGCGTATTCTGGATGTCTTCAGTGACCTCCTCGCTGACTTCGACCATCACCTAGTTTTCAACTCCAGTACCCTTCTCTCCTGTTAGGGCGTCGCTTTGATCATTTTCCACCATGTTGACCTCTCCAATGCATGCAGGCTCGGAGTAGTTGGTGTCTGCGACGTCCAAGGGATCTTCGTCCACTTTCATCTTCACCTTATCAGCAAACTTTAGTCTGCCATCTTTGATCGCGTTTTGAATCAGGTCCCTGAAAAGAAAACATTGTGAGGTTTTGTGGCCTAGGAAACTATGATATTTGCAAAATCCTCTCTTCTTTCTCTGATCCAAAGGAGGTATTTTGACATTTGATGGCACAATTAGTTGGCCATCTTTGACAAGTAAGTCAAAAATCTCGTCACATTTAGTGACATCGAAGGTATAAACCTTCTTTGGAAATTTGTCACTTTTTTCATTTTCAACAATGTCTTTCCCTTTTGTGGGAACTAACAATTTGCAGGAATAAGGCGGGGCCTGTTTTAATTCAGCGAGGTCGATTTCGACCTCTTCGAATTCGAATTCAGGATATTCTTCTGCTTCCTCAGTCCCAACATAGGAAATCCTTTCTTTCTTGCTATTCTTAAAGACTCTGGCTTTTTCGGCCTTTAGTCTTTCGACCTGTCGAACCCTATCGGCTAACTGAGCCATATCCCTCAAATACTGAGTGTCTAGTTTCTTTCGAATAGAATAATCCAAGCCACCAGCGGCCATTTCGACTAACTCATGTTCAGGCACTACTGTGTAACATCTGGATTTAAAAAGCCTAAATCTATTCAAATAATCATCTATGGGTTCGGTGAACTTTCTCTTAACACTGGCCAATTCCTTCAAACTTATTTTCGACTGTCCCATGTAAAATTGTTCATGGAATAATCTCTCTAAGAGAGCCCAAGTGTCAATGGACCCAGGAGGCAAAGTGGTAAACCATGTGAAGGCGTTTTTTGTCAAGGAACTTGGGAAGTATTTGATCCTGAGATCTTCATTATTGGCTATATCTCCCGCTTCGGTTAGATATCTCGCTATGTGTTCGACTGTTGACTCATTGGTATCCCCAGCGAACTTTGTAAATTTAGGGACTTTATATCCCCTTGGTAAATCAGTATGCATTATGCAATCCAATATAGGAGAAGCGTAATTTGGCCTTCTCATTCCTGTGTTGAGGCCATTCTGGGCCATGACTCTCTCTATCATGGTGGTTAGGTTGTTTTCTGCCAAGATGTTATCGTTTCGAATTCTATGAACGACAGTATCAACATCTTGATTTCGACCAACCAAAACAACTCCTCTAGGTTGTTCTTCTCGAAACTCTGGGGCTTCTAGCCTTTCGACCCTTGCCCCTGGTTCCATAATTTCCCTTTGTGGGCCCGGGATTATTGGGGCTTCTAACCTTGGTGCCCTGGCCCCTAAGTTAACTTCTTCTCTGGGTGGTCTATAAATTGGGTCGTTAGCAATTTGTTCTATAACAGGCATGTTTGCTCGAAATCCCGCCTGATTCTGCCTATGCCTTTCTGGGGGAGCAAAGAAATCTGCTATTCGACTCATATTGTCAGCGTTTTCTCTGTTTGTCACAGTCACATTTTGCACTATTGGGGCAAATATCTCCTGCATGGTTTGTGCTAACACCCCTATCATATTATGGTTACTGTCATCCATCAATTGCCTAAAAGCCAACTGGTTGTCTGTGGTTAAGATAGGCATTGTGCTATAACCCACCGACCCTTGGTTATTTGTCATAAACTGATTCACCCCAGACCCAGACCCTAGTTGTGGAGATGAATTCGATGTGGAATTGTGTAAACCTGCCATAAAAGATGTTGGCATTCCATAAGAGGAATTTCTGGTTCTATTCCCATCGAAACCGGGTGGTCTAGTTAATGGAGTGGCGAAATGGGATTGTGTCCCTGATGGTGGAACGAATCCCCCAGGGTAGCCAATGGTTCCAGTATTTCCTAAGATCGAACTATTAGTTGATATGCCACTTACTCCATTGGTGGCTATGTTACTGGTCGAAGATGCAACAGACTGTGCATTCGAAGGGATTACATTAGATGTTCCGATCGAAGTGGACGCATTAGTGCCTGTTGTATGTGGGCCATTTTGGTCCCCTTGTTGATTGTCTGAATTAGACATTTTGTCCAAACGTTTTCTTCTGGATAAAGGTTGGTTGCTGTTGGTTATCTTACCACTTCTCAGGTTCATAAAACAGCAAACTTCTTAGGTTCCAACGTTTTTGTAATGGTTATGTCTCAACAATCCTTATTTCTAATATCCAATTATTGGTCCCACCAGGTGTGCCAATTTGTTTCCAGTGATTTCTGGTAAACAACCGCTAGTCTTCCAAACTATCGAATAATCTTTCTGACTGTTATTCAATTCCTCTGGTAACTCACATGATCGACTAGATTGATCCTAGGACTCCTTGGATATTAAGGTTACTCTTACGATCGAACAAATATTCATGGTTGATATTGTATATGTGTTTGGCTTATTTCGATTTCTCTCTCTAAAAGTCTAAAGATGTAATCAAAATGTGTGTGTGAAAACTAAGTTACATGAATAAATGCTAATTGTAAAGACATGTAAAATTGCATAAAAGTGAAGTAAATGGTTTCGACTTACAAAACAGTTAATATAAAGGATTTCTGGAACGTAAAAGGTTTGAAATATGAAGAAAGCGTTTAATGCAAGAAATCTTTAAATGACTTTAAGTAAAAATATGCGTTCGAAGGATAAGACTTGAAGGTAAAGGTATGGAAAATATGACAGTTTTCTGAGATATAAAGTGCTTGAAATATGAAGAAAACATTAAAATGTAAAACTTTGAAGAAGAGATTTCGAAGTGAAAAGACTGTAAATGAGAAAACTTGTAAATGTTATTTGACAAAAGGATAAAGGAAAGTGCTGGAAATGGTAAAAGGTTTTCATTAAATCAGAAATACATGGTGCTATCATACATACATTTCTCTTGCATTCGTTTCCCTTGCCATGTGGTAGTTTGAATGTTACTGAGTATTTTGTATAATAAATATGACACACCAAATCCTAATACTAAGACTTCTATTTATACTAATTCGACCATAACGGTCTTGCTATAGGATTATGCCACGTTTAGAACATGCAGGACAATGCCTCTTTCGTCTTTCCACGTGTCCCCAAATGCTCCAGCACATAACTTTCAAACTTCGAAAGTCCCGCTTCCATTTGAATTTCAAATGCTTTGGTACTTCTCCGTTTCGAACGCTCTTCCCAGACACAACCTTGTTGTTATTTCGAGACTTCTTTAGATATGTTCCCATAATTGCCACTCGAAGCTCCAAGCTTTGACATACTTATTCGAAACACTGCTTCTGCTACTTCGAAACATGACGTTTTACCTCATTTCGATCAAAACATTTAATTCATTTGGCTTCTAATAACATTATCAAAATCTTCAGCCAACAATAGGTAACATTTTTTACATTCCACGAATGTCTATGTCACCTTCTGATTCACCTTGGCCATTCAAGTTGATTAGGAGACAATTTCCGATTATTGTCTCCTATGCAATGACAATTAATAAGTCACAAGGTCAATCTCTTGATAGTGTTGGATTGTATTTGCCTACTCCTGTGTTTAATCATGGTCAATTATATGTTGCAATTTCAAAAGTTAAGAGCAAAAGTGGGCTAAAAATCCTAATTCATGACAAGGAGAATGTACCGTGTTCTACTACTACTAATGTTGTGTACAAGGAAGTCTTTCAAGCACTTTGATAGTTGGTAAACTTTATATCTTATATTTTACGATTCAAATTAAAAATCTATTTTGAATTAAAATATATAGTATGTACATTTTCCATGTATTTCAAGAAGTATATAATTTTTCCTATTTGTTCATGCAGACGTGATTTGTTGATAGGACCGACGCTTGCTATAAATATAGAGTTAAATGCCAACATGGTTTACATGAGACATATACTCAACTGAAAACATGGTAACATACTTAATAATTTAATAATCTATAAATGTAATGTGAATCCAGACGAGACCCGTGCGATAGCACAAGTTTGTTACTAAGTTTAGTTTATAATTGTGAGCGGATACTTAAAGTTGATAAGTAGGTTTGTGAATTGCAGCAATTGAGTTGAGTGAAAATGAAAAACAAAAATGTTGATAATGGGAACGAGTTTTCTCCTCCGGTGTTGAACCTGAGTGATTGTTTGCCGGAGCTTGTCAAATTCACTCTCACTTCTCACTCTCACCTTCTCAATCTCCAATCCAATTTCTGCTCCACTCTCCTCAAACAAGACAATGCTTCTTCTTTGGGTAAGGTCAATTAACCTAATTTCTTCACCATTTTTTTTTTAAACTTTTACATTCTTATAAATAATTGTGCTATTTTGCAGAATCTTCTTTGGAAGGAGTTCCACCATATCCTTTATACAACCGTCTTGCTTCATCTCTTTTAAGGTGTATGGATTCTCAAGCATTTTGTAGTACAAGCTGCAATTTTGAAATGATGAACAGTGATTTTGATAATTCTTCCATGCAGCAAAAACACAATCAATGGCACAATTTGATTCTCGACAAAGGGTCTGAAATAGTGAATGTATAATGTTATCTGAACTTTTTTATCTCTGATTAGGTTGGTTCCAATGTAATATATATATATTTATAACAGTTTTGTTTCAGCAGATTTTGAAGAGTGTTTCCTTTCAACTAAATGTTCAAGAGCCTTTTTTTACGCAACTAAAAGGTAGCATTTTTTGTCACTCCCTTGTCCGTTTTGGATATGATCAACTTCAATGTAATCACAGCTAAAATAATACTATACATTTTTGTGTAACTGGTGTTACTGGGTTGAATTTGAATACTTAGTTATCTACTGTCCCTAAAAAGAGAGAATGAAACAAATAACTGTATGCTAGTAACGATTGAATCGATATAATAACGTCTCTGGGAGTGGTATTCTCCATCTAACTAGAATTTAATTCTACCATGTCTTATGATGTTATTGTCTGCAGATGGCCTGAAAACAGTTGAGGGGAGGTGTGCCACTGCCAAATACAACAGGTTTCAATGTGATACCTATTATTATGTTTTACTATTATTGATTTCTTTCGGTACAAAAGGGTATACTTACTTTAGTTATAAAATAACATTGTAGATCATACTATACTGTCTTCTGATGTTAGAATATTTTTTCATCTCAATAACGCAGAGTTTGTAGGAGACTGCCCGATTTAATCTTGTGTGTGTGTGCGTATGCATCAATTCTGAGTCCTCTACATGAAAAGAAATATAAAAATAACATTGGATGATCAGTTAAAAGTAGAACTAACTGAACGAACAGATGACTTACTTAATAGTTGACTATCCATTTTACTTCTCTCTTCGATTTTTCCTGTTTTGATTTTTTTTTTTAATTTGGTTTCTAGGATTGAATTAGGAAATATGATTCTCTTAAACAACTCTTTGGTGTTTGAAGTTCAGGTGATGCTTTGTTTCATCAATAGTTGGTGTTACTGTCTGTAATGGCTTTTCCCTGTCTCTTACTTCATCAATGTACAGGGAGTAAGGAGGTATCCTTCATTCTTTTACATGTTGGAGACAGAAGGCCTTGGAAAAGTTCTTCCAGGAGTTGAAAGTGTTGAAGAAGGTATTGAATCTCCATTTTTTCGATAAAGAAATTGGATCCGCATTTATAACCTAGATGAACTATATAACTGTCAGGAATGAGTATTTGTTCTTGCTTTGTATTTGAGAATCCAAAGAGTTTTAATATGAAAGAATCACCATTCAGTCCTTGTCCGAGTCAATTGTTGAATTTTCACAATGCTTCCACAGTAACACTTGCATGGCATTATGTTATAGGTGTGAAGATCTATCGAAGGTTTTACACAGAAGAGATGGAACAAACAAATGGCGTTCTTGCAATCAGTGTTTCAAAACATTCTGTTCAACCATGCACTTCATTGGCTAGCTTATTTTCTGTGGGTTCACTTTTCTATGAAACCATTATATCTGACTACTTGTTGGATTTGAAAATTGACTTTGATTTGCTAATTTTTGTATCTTCCTAATTGTTGATCGTGATATGTATTTCACAGAGAAAAGAAAGTGGTTAGCTTAATAAATAGACATTCATGTTTTGCTAAAGAGGAATAGAATTAACCAGTAATAGCTACTAATGCTTATTTACTTATTTGTTTTGCTTATTTGACTGTGTATGGACTAATACTCCAGTATTCTCGTATAGATTTCACTGAAGAGTTGTCGATTATTGTGCTGTCGTTTTATCTAGGAATTAAGCTATGGGGGTGTACAAGGTCTTCTTGGTCTAATGCATACCACTGGGACGGTTCCTAATGCACTTCCGCCACCAAGACCGGCTCTGTTAGCATCGTTTAATTTCCCATGTAATCCAAACGTAAGAAAATGAATTTGTTGCACTGTTTTGGGGTTAATTTTGCAGAGTTTTAGTTCCTTTCACCTCTTCACGGATTTGTTTGAATTCATTTCTGTAATATTTTCGAAGAACCTTAGGAACTAGTAGTATCATTCCACATTAAATTAAGAGTTGAAACTTGAAAGAATTTCATTGCTTTTAATTTTACTATAATAAAATGTTCACGCCACTAAGTTACAACCAGTTTATTGATAGTCAATGACAAATCATAAATGTACTTTTTATGATCAATATTCAGGAAAAGTCCTTGACTCATGGAGCTCGGGCATTGGCCAAGCATGCCTGTAGAAGTAGCAGTGGTTATTGGGGTTCTTTGGTTGGGAATGGTAAGAACTTGTTTTTGAAAGAGGATCGTTGAGATATATATCTTTGGTAATTTCTTTTCAATACTACCTTGGTTTTCTAGGTTTTTCTTCATATGGATTTTGTTCTGGGTTGGCCAAAATGGTCCCATTGCCTGGGAATCAAGTCTAAGGTAGTTTATATATGACATCCATACTCCTGAACCCAACAAGGCGCCTTTTCCAAAGGACAAAGCCGTGAGGGTTCTCACCCAAAGAAGACAATACCTCGTAGCCATAGTGGCGCAGGTTTGAGGTTGACTAGAACATTGGCGCCGTCTGTGAGAACTCGAGGTTCGCACCATGCCCCTTAGCCTTGATTGGGGGGAAATTGTTCCGTGTTGGCCAAAATAGTTTCACGTTGCTTGAGAATCGAGATTAAGGGTTGTTTATATACAACATCCAATTCCGTGAGGGTTCTCACACCCATAGCGGATAATACCTCGTAGCTGCAGTGATGCAAATTGGATGTTGACCGGAACAAATTTATTTTTCCTTGAAGATTTTTAAGGCTTTTGAAAGAGCTTGAAAATTGGAGGTTGACCTTATGAATAAGGGCTTGGTTAAGAATAAGTACTCAATTAGGTTGTTTGCTCAAACACTCCTTTGGTGAAAGATGTTTTCGATTTAGCTTCGATATGTTTGCTTAAATGCTTGTGAGCAAGTATACTTGTAGTGTGTCACTGACAGTCTCTCTCACTCTCTAGTAAGTTGATCACATAGTTTTTACTTATCCTGTCTCTTTTAATGCTCTTTCCAGATTCTAATAAAAATAGGCTCGCGATGGATGTTATTAACAACTTAATAGCACATTGCAGTTGGATGAATATACACATTGTCCCACCACACGGAGCTGTCTTTGAAATAAGAGTTGCTGATGGATACGGTGCTCGTTGGAATGAAGATGGAAGTAAGGTGTGTGAATACACTAAATTCTGGTGTTTATGTTAGTTTGTTCAAATTTTAGCACTATATGTAGTATTGGACTTACATTTGAATCATCAAACTACTTCTTTTCAATGTATTTGTTTTTCAGTTTATTGGATTTTTAGAACCATACATGCAAGATGGTCATTCAAAAGGATGGAAGCATTAGTTCTGCTAGCCAATCTTCCCAAGATCATAGCAGCCAGCAACACCTATGTAATTGAATACCACTTTTCCATTTTAGCTTGTGATTATGTGTATTATATATATATTTTTATCTCTACTATTTGGCACTGCTATTTAGCTAACAACTAGTTCTCATACCCTTATAAATGATATGTTTTATGTTGGATCTCGTGTACTGGGGCGGGAGTTTACTGCAAAATATGAACATGAAGAATATTGAAGATGACACGATAATAGTTGCACAAATAAGTATCGAAGTTTTTTGTGAACACACTAAGCTTAAAGTTTGATTACCTTCACTAATTTTGACAAATTAGATGCAAATGGATAAACCGACAAATCTCTTACCTTAACGTCAACCATATACCTCATATACCTGCTTTTAGCTGTTGATGTAGCATTAGTTGGGAGGTACAGACCAACCAACCTGTAATTGTCTCTCTTTGTTTGCATGCATTTGTGTAGCCGTGTTTTCGTGAATAACAAGTAGGATGTGTGAAGTTTGGCCAAACTGTTTCAACAGCCAAACCATAGAATGATAGAAACATCTTTAATCAAAGGCAACAATGTCCATGTCTCCTATTTTAAACGTTATTGTTTGCTTTATTTTTATTTTATTTTATTAATACACTTGATCGTATTTTTATCAATTCCCAATATTGATCCCTTCATTTTTAAATTCTCCAATTTCGACCCCTTTTTCAAATTTTTGAATTAATAAGTAGTGATGTGAAAATTTTAAATAACATGATATACGATTTAATAAGTGGGGGCATCGATTCAGGTCACAATCACTTGACTAGGAACAGTGGAAGGAATGAACAAGAAGGTGAGCCACGTAGAAGCAAGAGAACTTGAACATCTAAAGACGAAGTACCCGACAAACATTCAAGAAACGACGTCTTCACTGTATGCTGACTTAACAAACGATGAATTCTCTAGAATCTAACAGACTTGAAACATAGAAGACTTTCCCCATGAGAACAAACCTATCCATTGAGAAGTACAATGTTCATCTTGTAGTCAAGGGTCGTAGACAACGAGATAATATAGATTTCTTTGAAACTTTTTCACATGTTATTAGAATAAAATCCACTAAGGCACTTCTTTTCACTTGTAACAATTTATAATTTATAGGTACATCAAATGGATCTTATAACTGATTTTTTAAATGGTGATTTAGAGAATTTTTTTAACAATAACTAAGTATTGAAAAAAATACACAAATAATCATGTTTTGGAGAAAATTACACAAATAATCATGTTTCAGATAATTCTACAATGAAAGCGTCAAGTGAGATGGTGTATGTACTCACTTTTTTGTCTTAGGCGTCATCTCACTTGGCGCATGCACTTTGTTTTAACCAAGTGAGATGACGCAGGCACTATAAAAAGGGGAGGAGGTGTCATATGAGATGACTACTACGTGCAATTGTGTTTTCTATAAATAAAACATTCATTTCTACATCATTCTTCACTCTTGGCGCATGCACTTTGTTTTAACCAAGTGAGATGGCGCATGCACTATAAAAAGGGGAGGAGGAGCCACCTGAGATGACTACTACGTGCAATTGTGTTTTCTATAAATAAAACACTCATTTCTCTATCATTCTTCACACTTTCTCACACTCTCTTCTTATTTTTTCTCTGTTATTTGTGTCATGACATCTCCCATGATTTTCACCAGAGATGAATACGTTATTTTCTCAGCCATCAAACTTCCAATAAAAATGAAAATTTGGCACATTCATTCTATGAAGCGTCTGAAGAGAGAGTTGATGTGATGGGTAGAGGGAAACATCGAGGTTGGGGAACAAATTAGAAGGATCTGGAGAAGAAGAGCAACCACCTCATTTGCAACTGGTAGAACTCAATCTTGGTTGGAGGAAGTCAAAAGAAACTGATATATAATGGTGATTATGCATGGCTCAGATGAAATTATTTTGACGGTTGTAATTTCTTAGACGTTTTATCGTATTTTTATTTGTTGTTTGCGTATGTTTTGTTGTAACAAATGCTCTTAATGAAAAAAGTTACGTTTAAAACTTAAAAAAGTGCAGATGGTTTCCATATAATTTTTATGTTATCGAGCTTGTAGCCTGAGTTGGACAATTTTTTCGATTGTGTCCGACCTGACGACATAAACCACACTTTCTTTCTAGTTTGTCAAGGGAGTCCATTTCAGTTGTGATACGCTTGCTTTTGGGACGACCCTTTTTATTCTTTCGCATTTGATCGTTGTGTCATACTATTTCCCTGTCGTATGCAGACCAATAATCATATTTCGCTACCATTGAGAAGCCATTGTTGTATACGTTGAGCAAGGTTTCAGACTTGTAAATAGGAGATAGAAGTAGTAATGCATCTTGATGAGTATACACACATGCCGCAATGACATGAGAGTAAAGCATACGAAAGACTTGAAACTTTCCACAATCGCACCAACGAGATGGTAGTATAACCTTATACTCTTGTCTTGATAGCCCCTCGTTATGGTCGATTGTCTCTTTGACAATGAAGTTGTGGCTATGTCGATCGAACCTTATAACAAGATGGGTGTTGGCTTTGACCCTTTCTGCCTTAGTATACTTCATGCAACTTTCACTCCATAGTTGTCCCGATTGTAAGACCGCATTCCATATTTCACCTCTCTTAGCAAACAACGAAGCCATCCTAAAATATGTTGATTTCACCAAAGCGGTTACTGGGAGGTTTCATGTGCCTTTGAATACACCGTTCATTGATTCAATAAGATTTATTGTCATGTGACCCCATCACTGTCCATTGTCGTATGACCTTGTCCATTTCTCCACTGGAATATTATCAATCCACCTACCTACATTCAGATTTGACAATCTGATCTCGTTGTGATAGTATTTGAACGAAGATTGTGTTAATGCATACCCCGCGTTCATAACTGTTTTCCTAAGAGCCTTGTCTTTGATCTCCCTCGTGAAATTTTGTACGATATATCTAATGCAGTAGACATGCGTAGAAGGAGGGTCATGCCAATCATTTGCAGGATTATTGTATGCACTCTCAATAGATGCATGTCTGTCGGATATCAATTAGAGACCAGGTTGAGGAGTCACGTGTGTTCAGAGATTCTTGAGAAAGAAACTCCAAGCACCACCAATCTCTCCCTCGACTAGAGCAAAGACAATTGGGAAAATATTGTTGTTGTCATCTTGTACAACTGCCATCAGTAGCGTGCCTTTGTATTTCCCGTACAACCATATTCCATCTATTTGAATAACAGGTTTGCATGACACAAACCCTGTGATGCAAGGTTGAAAAGCCCAGAACAATTGACTAAATATTCCATTTCAGTTGACATGAGTACCATCTGGGGCGTACGTCGATAATGTTTCCATAATATAAACATTTCCAGGGAATACATCTGAAGTGCATGCAGGTAGTGCGATAGTTCTTTGTATGACTCCTCCCAGTTTTCATATACCTTTTCAACCGCCTTAGTATTTGCTAACCACGCCTTTCTGTATGACGGAGTATAATTGTATACTGTAGTGATGTGAGAGATTATGGTTTTCACCCTTAATGACGGATCATTACTGGTGAGAGGTAGGATTTCTTGACATATTAGATCGTAATTTAGTTTATGATGATCTTGTGATTGAGTAGAATTTATGCACGTGTGAGTGGACATAGAACCTATCACCCAACAATCACCTCTCAACTTGTATTATGCAGTGAGCCTGAATATACAATCTGGGTGAACACACCTGACCTTGTACTTTCTGATTTACCCGATCTACCTTAAAATCGACAGAGTTTAGCATGTGAAACTTTTTTATAGCTCGCATAGAATCTTCTCTATTACGAAATTTGTCTTTCTCTTTTAAATTTTTATTCGAATGCATATACAGGTTGAAAAAAACATCAGAGGATGTTTTATCTCCGCCCATGTTAAAGTTTATCATGTGTGAAGGTGGTGTGTAGATCTCATTCGAAGGTATTTCAGGCAGCCCATCGTCTTCAGAATCATTGTTAACCATGTCATCAAACTCTAACTCTTCATCTTCCTCTTCTTCGTCAATGACATCTACTTCTGCTTGTTTGTCTTTGAGAGGATCAACCACTTGTGACTGAGTTGGTCGTGACAACTGAGGCTCCTACAACACAATGTGCAACTCAATCGAGTCGTACCCAAAATACTCATGACTGGAAAACATATTTTGAAGGTCCTCGTCATCTTGAACCTCTACCTTATAAAATATTATTTGGTTCTCACAAAAAAAAAACGGATTTTGGTAGAAGATGTGTGCCACTGAACCTCGTCCAAGTTTGACCTTTAATCGTTTTTTGAAATATAAGAAATTGGCTTTCCTGTTTAAACAAAATCAGATGTTCTCAGTGTCTCTAAATAAAAACCCATAGGTGGGATCAATGTACGTCTCACCGTTGAAATATCCACTGATAACGTATTGTGGTGTAGAGGACACTGTGTTTGGATATTTGAGTGTTTGAAGGTTTGAGTGTTTGAGTGTTTGAGTGTTTGAATGTTTGAGTATTTATAACATTAGATGAATGTAGGATAAATAGGTTTCATTAAACTTGAACAATACAAAAATTCTCCACCACTAATTCGCCAATTGAGATGGCGACACCTTTCAAATTTGCACTCATGCGCCAAGTAAAATGACGCATCCCTACATGTCCTATCACCTTACATACATGCGCAAAAGCCTGCCCCTAGCCCGCCACATATGCTGCCACCCACTCTACATGTAAGCATGTCCAACACCAAGTTGGATGGCGCATGTTCTTTAAATTGTATGTAGGCGCCATTTGACTTGGCGCATGAGTGCCACGTATTATGCATGCATGCAACCACCAACCACCTCATTAATTCACTCTTATACGATTTCGCCTATAAATATGGTGCCTGAGATAATTTTTTTGCATCACCAATCATCTCATTCTCTGATACAAACTCTTTCATTGTCTTATACAATTTCAAAT